TGGAATTCCACCCAAGATTTGAGATTTCTCAAATTTCCACCTCCCAAAATACAAGGGTTGGAGATGGTATTTGGAAGCTAAACTCAAAATTTGAGTTTCCACCCCAAGGGTTGGAGATGGTCTAAAGGGCAGATATTTTCTATGTTGATAGTTATACTGTGATTCAGTGGTGCAATCCAATGGTTCAAAAATTTGTCCATGAAATATATAATTATTATTTCATCAATGCGATAACAAAATATACGAATATCTGTACCTCGCGCTCGTGAGTTTTTAGTTCAATGCATCTGTCTCGTACACTGACAAACGGAGATGGCAATCGCATGGGTTAATTGAATGGTAGTGGGTCGGGGAAGGTGAGCGGGAGATGCACGTCCATCGCATGGCCAACCCAACACATCCTATTTCTTTGTTTGTTTTTTCGAATTGGAAATGTGTGTTCGACCAAAATAAATAATAAATAATAAATAAACAAATGGAAATGCGTGGGATATTGTAAATAATAATGATCTCCTTCCTTTTTTGAAATGGTGGGTAGGGTACGGTTTGTATAATAAGAGGCGAGAGAGAGCCTGGCCCAACCCACCGACACTTAATTTTTTGCCTCCATTATCTCCCAACCGTCTGTTCTCCCCTTCCTCTTCATTATCTTTCCTCAGCTAGAACCCTCACGATCTCTCTCCCTCCTCTCCTCCCCTCCATTGCCTCTCTTTTGCTCTCCCTGTCCCTTCACGAAGCACCCACCCTTCACCAAGCACCAGAACCCTCTCGATTATCTCCTCCCTTTGCTCTCCTTCGCTCTCCCAACCAAGCCTCGATTATATCTCCCAACCGTCTGTTCTCCCCTTCCTCTCCATTATCTTTCCTCTGCCAGAACCTTCACGATCTCTCTCCCTCCTCTCTCTTCTCCCTTTCCTCTCGTTTGATCTCCCTTGCATCTCCTTTGCTATCCGTTGTCTCTTCCTTATCTGCCCATATCTTTAAAACAAAAATCTGGCTGGGCCATTTTCACCGGTTTGTCATAAAATAAGAGCCCTGTCGGGCTCAATTCATACCCTAACGAAATCGCTGGTTTGCAATCAAATTTTTTTTTAGTTTTTTCTAGGGTTTTGTCCCTATTTAAAGCCTTTGAACTGAGTTTCAGTTAAGTTCAAAGTGCTGCTCTAAACATCCGAAACCGTGGGCCAGATCTGGCCGAATTTGTGGGTTGCGCTGGTCAGATCTGGTCACACGTAATAACACAAGGCTGTTGAACATTTGAGCCATTAGTTCGACATTTTCTGATGTAAGAAGAAATGTCGAATTTATGGCTCAAATGTTCAACAGTCTCGTGATTATTCCGTGTGGCCAGATCTGACCAGCACAACCCACAGATTCGGCAAAAGATTTTACCTTCGTAACCTCCACGAAATTGAGAGCAATCGGTAAAACAAGAAATGGCAGAATGAGAAAGAATCTGGCACGTATTGCTAAACCACGAAAGCACACAAATCGGTACAAAAGTGTAAGTGATTTTACCTTCACAACCTTCATGAAATAGAGTTGTTCAAATTCATTCCCAAACCCTTTGAAGGGTCGGATTTCTGATAATTGCCTGAAGCTCAAGGATCAGGTAAACTCTAGCTATTGTTAGATTTAGTAGTAACCTGACAAAATCAATTGATAGTATTCTTGTTTATCACATCCAAGAATGTTTGGCCAAAGGTTAGTCACCTAAGAAGGTTGTTAGCTGACGTGTCATTATAGTTAGATTGTTAGAATAATCCACGTGATTTCTGCCGTAGTATAAAGTCTGTAATCCCATGTGTATTGGATTCATTCAATGAGAAATACAGAAAGCAAAAGTAATATTTTCTCTAAATTCCTCTCTGAATATTCTAGAACTGTCTTCTTCCTTCAGCTTTGTTAATTTTTTCATATTCATTAGGTTTGCATTTTCGGGTAGTTTTTAAGGGTTTAGGTTTGAATTGTTCAAATTCATTGCCAACCCCTTTTAATGGTCCGCTTCATCTTTGCTGCCGAATAGGATTTAGATTTATATTGAAATTTCTAATTTTTTATCTTTTATATAAAAGAATATATCGTGCAAGGAGGAACCACTATGTGAAATTTGACCTTTAGCTTCGGATAATATCCGTTGCTAAAGGCCCCTATCTACCGATGTATTGGGAACCAATGCCTATTATATAGTCAATACGCTTCGGATATTATCCGATGCTTTTATATATCTACCGCATCAGTTATGTCCTAAACACTGATGCTAAAGTGCCTTCCATGTGCCAAAAAACCGTTGACCTCCTATGCCTAAACATGCTATGACTTCGGTAGTTTTAATAATTCTGATGCTAAATGTTGTTTACAACATCAGAGTTCTATACTACATTGATGCTTTTTCCGACTTGCAACATCACATAATACAATAATGATGATGCCACTTCCAGTTATAGGCATCAATTGTCTTATGAGTGCTGTTATTTTAAATTTTTAACTTTTGTTGTTTGTGCAAAATTAAGGTTGTTATGAACAATATCATGCACTGTTACCCATTGCACATCAAAAAACATATATAAAATTTAAATATTTCCATATATCAAATTATATATCCAACACTTCCATAAATCACAAATTTTCCAACCCCACATATGATCCATACTTGTCTATAAGCAAAATACTAGCAACAAAAATACATAATAAAATGAAGAGAGAATGCTAATTTCAAACAAAATGCTACTCTAGGACATGACTTGCAAAATACTAGTTAGAAAGACATGTAAAATGAAGGCATGAATAGCCATCCTGGGTAGTACTCTGCCACAATTTTCAGTGCTGCCAGCAGCAAGTTCATAAAAGCCGAAGCTGACCTGAAACAGCATGCAAAATCCACCGCTACTTTTAATAAATAATCAAAATTAAACAATATTATTAGTGTTAATTACATGCATAATTTTGAATTATAATTGTTAATTGGAAGGATAAAAAGTGTTTTAAGGGTCTCTGGCAAAGCAGAAAAAGTAGAATCCTGGCAGGATCAAAATAAACAAGAATGGTCAAAAACCTTTCTGCAGCTTGTGGACTTTGAGTCTTCATTATCACTGATGGGATTCAGAGTCTCAAAACATATAACTCCTTCAAAACAGTCCTTCAATCCAAGCTTGCTAAGAGTTTTTGCCACATGGACCCGTCCCCATTTGAGAAAATCTGTTTCATATTGTTAAGCCAGAACATCATCAGAGAAATTAAATCTTGAAGCAGATTTTTTTAGTTACCATCAACTTATATGTAACTTGCAGCTTAAGAGTTTTCGATACGGCAGGCTCAGCAGCAGAGTCCTTAGGACATGGTCAGGTCTTAGTACCTCATAGGGAAATCTTCCATGAACAGAACTGTAAAAGGGGAATTTGTGAGATAATTTCATACTTACTGATATCCACCACAATTTATATGCACCGAATACTGCTCTATAGAGAAAAAACAGCATACAAAAGGTAGAAGACAAATGGACTCAAAACAATATTGTATGTGATAACAGGAACATACACTTGAGATATTCTACGACAGATTTAGTTACCTTTTGAACATGGATTGAGGCAATGGCTAAGAATCCTACATTGATATATACAAAAAAAGCATAATTAGCTTACAAACAATGAATGAGGAAAAATGAATAAACTCCCTGTGGAAATCATTGAGTTTGAAGCTTACGAGTTGTTCTGCCTGGAAAAACTTTTGAACACATTACTGATGAAAACAACCTAGTTACTTTCACATATTTAGATAGCCAAAGAGTGCAAAATATGTAAGTCTCAAGCAAAAGTAAATGAAAAGAAGAAGACAGAAAAGGAAAAAAAAAAAAAAGATTTAATCTTACAAGTTGTCTTGACATGTTGGGACAGAGTTCTCTGAAAAGTTATTGTAGGAAAGATCTATTATGCTGCATGCAAATTTAAAGTTCTCTATTAACAGAGATTCCAAGAAAAAAGAATATCAGAATATTTTGGTAAAATTTGTAACATGAATGACTGAATTTGCCCAGAACAGAGAGGAAATCATTCAACATTTCAAAGACAGCAGCAAGATAGAAAATTTTGGACTTAACCACTCATCATCAATACAATACCCCAGCCTTCTTATAATCATGAACCTTCAGCCAAAAAGTACTTGTATACATAACCTTATCCATTGTGTAATTTGCCTCATCTTTCGTGTAGCGTTATAATCTGTCTACCAAGTCACTATATTCTTAATCATAGACATTTATCTGTTGAAGCCTCAGAAGCACAGACACAAATTAATGAGGAAAGGTTGCAATCAACATGTAGGTATGCACACTACATGCGTGCTTGTGGTATACATATGATCTGAGTAATCTGAGTAAATGATGGATATAAACAGAACTCTAACCATAAATAAGTAAGATTTAGGAGGCAGAAACATACTAGCGACTATCTCTATATTTGAGGCAATCATTCAACATTTCAAAGACAGCAGCAAGATAGAAAATTTTGGACTTAACCACTCATCATCAATACAATACCCCAGCCTTCTTATAATCATGAACCTTCAGCCAAAAAGTACTTGTATACATAACCTTATACATTGTGTAATTCGCCTTATCTTTCGTGTAGCGTTATAATCTGTCTACCAAGTCACTATATTCTTAATCATAGACATTTATCTGTTGAAGCCTCCTAAGCACAGACAAATTAATGAGGAAAGGTTGCAATAAACATGTAGGTATGCACACTACATGCGTGCTAGTGGTATACATATGATCTGAGTAATCTGAGTATATGTAACCTCAAGCAAAAGTACAGAGAATGAATAAACAGAAGTATTACAAAAGTTTCAGACATGTCATATTAGAGATATATTCAGGGATTGTTCTTATATTGCAGCTCCTTAACATCCTGCAATTTGAAGCAACCCATATAAGAAAATAAATGTTATATACTTGTAGGTTATTCTAATCAGAAAGGATGCTAAAAGTCTAAAACCATAAAGATTGCTCACAAAGTCTGCATGTCTTTCATATTTGACAAGTTTGGAAAATCTGAACTCTCACCACTTAAGTCACTAATCGCTCTGCAAAAGATCACCTCAAGATAACTATTAGGAATACAAGTCTCTTCAGCAATGATATCTCAAAAGAGAATGAAAACAATCTGAAACCTAAAATAATTGAGAACTTAGAAGCCAAGACTCACAGGTATGACATTTTAGTTAATGCAGAAAGGCTAGGAGGAATGGGCCCCTCAAGACCACTCCCTTGCATCTCTCTGTAAGCAACACATTTGAAATGGATTTATATTGTAACTGAAGATACTTGAAGATGACAGAGATATAAGATGCATGCTAGAAAAGATCTCTTACAACATCTCGAGCTCTTTCCAACTAAGAAAATAGTTCGGTATTTTCCCAGTGAAGTTGTTACTGCCAATCCAACTGCAGAATATTTTGAACCACCCCACCCAAAAGAAAAAAAAAATGGAATGTCATGAACCTGAACTCGAAACATCTTAATTATGTAAAATACAGTAAAAATCACTTACAGTGTTTTTAATTTGGTCATATTAGTGAGAGACACAGGCAACTCTCCCGTGAAAGCATACAAAGCTTGGAGAGTAACAATGTTTCCCAAATAGCTAGGGATTGGTCCTGATAAGTTGTTCACGCTGAGAACCCTGCACCATGTACATTCCATTAGTTCAATCATTGGCATGAAAACTACTAATTGGCAACCTCAAACATGAGTGTAGATGCCACTTACAGAAATTTCAACTTCGTAGAAGTCCATTCGTGCAGTATGGAACCACTAAGGTAATTCTGGCCCAGATTACTATGAGCAAAGAAGAAAGAGTGCTATTAATTAGGATAAGAACCAATCCTATGTTTTTATATAGGTGTAAGAGTACCATGATTGAAACAAAGAATCTACAGGGCACTTCCAGAACAAGGCAATCAGATGCCAAAACAAAGTCCACAAGATACTTAGAAATATGGAACATATCAAATTATTCCAAAGAACAGAACTAAACCCTCTGTTTGGTCTCCTCCTAAACCAAGGAATACAAAAAATTAATAAAAATAACAATCTCAAATCCATGCTTATTGAAGAATTCATCTCAACATAACAACAATTTTAGTGATCTCATAACAACAACAACAACAAAACTTGAAATTCTTCTCTTCATCCACATTTTCATTCAAGCCAACCACACAGAGAAAATAATACTGGAAAGGAAGTAAATTTTGAAAGAATGACCATACCAGCAGCACCAGTGACAAGAACTCGAACTGGATCTTTCGCCATTGCTGCAGAGTGTGGTTTTGGATAGAGAAAATAATCACAAAGGTAAAAACCAGTCAATAATTTCCACAAATTACAGAAGAAAATAAATAAATAATCAGAGCAAATTAATAAGAAAAGTAGAAATACCATCTGTAACATATCCAAAAGGAGAAAACAGTCTCTTGGGTTATTCATTATTAGTGAACGCTGATAATCCTAAGCAACAAACCCAAGAATCAAAACAAGCGGTTTAAACAAAAAGAACCCTAAAAATAGATTTGAGAGAAAGAAAG